CTCTCCCGAGTAATGCCCACTAAATAGGAACAGCTAATTGAGGGTCCTTCAATCAACAGCAATAAGCATGTAGTTGAACAAATAGAGAGAATACTATGGCAAATCTATATTAACATAACGAGAAAATCATCCTTCAATAGGTTCCATCAAAACCCTAGATTATGAGTTTAGCAACTCATACTCATAGTACAAATATCCAAAGTAATTTTCATAATTAAATGATAGAGTAAGGATATAGAGATGTAGAAATCAATGTTTCCAACTCCCAAGTAGTGTTCCATGAGCTATTCTTGCCTTCGGTTGCAAAAGTCCTTCAAACTGCATTTTTGGGTCTATTTATATGTTTGGGACAAGCCCTAAATGTGTAGGTCAACTCCTAGTCAAGACGGGAAACAATTAAAACCCAAAAAGGACTGGGCCTGGCCTTAGGCCTAGCACCGCCTGGCTAACGCTAGCCTCAGCCTGGCTTTAAGCTGGCGTCGCCAGGCTAACGCCTGGCTAGGCCTGGCTTTAAGCTGGCATCGCCAGGCTAACGCCTGGCTGGGCCTGGCTTTAAGCTGGCCTCGCCAGGCTAAAGCCTGGTCGAGCTGGCTTTTGGCTGGCTTCTCCTTTTCAACGTTCTCGAGCGCACTTTCGACGTTTAAGAATCCGTTTAGCTCTACTTTCATTTCCGATGCACCTACACATAAAATAGACTCCATCACGCTCAAACAAAGTGTATTTTAACATTAAATCATGTAAAACTCAAAGCATATAATGTGGTAAACCATGAATTATAGCCACACATCAGATTCGGAAAGAGAATTCTCCTTTCAAAAGCTTGAAGTTGGAAGAACTGACTAAGATTAGATTTTTGAGTAAACGACCTCGGAATCAAGATTTGAAGGTTCCAATAGGTTCGTTTGATGATTTTGGACTTGGGCGTATATCCGGATCGGGTTTTGGATGTCCCGAGAGCGTTTCGGCGCTTATTGTGTAAGATAGCATTTTGGAAGAATTTCATAAGTTTGGGTTGAAGTGAATTTTAGTATTATCGATGATCGTTTGGGATTCCGACTCCCGGAATAGCTTCATGTGGTGATTCTAGTATGCGGAGCGCGATCGGAAGTGGATTCGGAGGTCCGTAGGTCATTTTAGAGTCATTTGGCGAAAGTTAGAAATTTGAAGGGTTTTGAGAAGTTTGACCGGAAGTGGACTTTTTGATATCGAGGTCGGATACCGATTCCGGAAGTTGGAGTAGGTCCGTAATATCGAATATGACTTGTGTGCAAAATTTGAAGTCAATCAGAGGTGATTTGATAGGTTTCGGTGTCGAATGAAGAAGTTCAAAGTTCTAAAGTTCATCAAGTTTGAAATGTGGTGTGATTTGTGATTTTAGCGTTGTTTGATGTGATTTAAGGCCTCAAGCAGGTCCGCGTTATGTTATGAGGATGGTTGGCGTGATTGGACAGGGTACCGGGGGACTAGGGTGGATTTCGGGGGATTAACGGATCAAATTTGGAGTTAGAAGAAGAATTGAGCAGCTGCCTTCTGGCTTAACCGCACCTGCGAGGCTTGGGCCGCAGGTGCGGAGCCACAGAAGCGGCCATGTGGTCGCATGTGCGATTTTGGTGGGGGAGAGCAGGGAAGGCAGATGCGGTCATCTCACCGCATAAGCGGGACCGCACATGTGAAAGAGAAGGCGCAGAAGCGAGAATGGGCTGGGAACCTTGGACCGCAGAAGTGGTATTTGGTCCGCACCTGCGGGACCGCAGAAGCGGTCGTGTGACCGCAGGTGCGAAAATGCTGGAGGCAGTGAGGTTTCTTTAAAACGGGGGTTTGGCCTATTTTCTTCCATTCACTCTTGTTTGGACGATTTTTGGATAGTTTCAAGTGGGGGTTTTCATCATCAATGGCAAGGTAAGCTATCCCCACCTATCGTGAGTTAAATACATTGATTATGTATAGATTTTAGCATGAAAATTGGTAGACATTTGGGATTTTGAAGAAAAACCTAGAAATTGGTATTCTTGGATTTTGACCACGATTTTGGGCATGTAATTAAGAATAAATTATATATTTGAGCTCGTGAGGGTATGGTAAAGTTTATCTTCGAAAAATTTCGGAATCCGGGCACGTGGGCTCGAGGGTGATTTTTACCGACTTTTCGATCGGGGTTAAAAAATATTATAAATTATCTTATAATGAGTATTCGAGCGTATATTAATGGGCTTGCATTATTATTGGCTAGTTTTGGAGTGTTGCGCATCGGTTTGAGTCGTCGGAAGGGCTTGGGAGCCGGTTATGGAGCTTCGGAGCGAGGTGAGTCTCCTTTCTAACCTTGTAAGAGAGAATTAACCCCATAGGTGAAATAATTAAATATGTGCTTCTATTTGAGGGGGCAATGTACGCACGAGGTGACGAGAGTCTAGGAGCAACTTTTAATTTATTATGAGCCCAAACGATGGATTCATGTACGTAGCTACTAACTATGCCTATGTCCGGGTAGTTTTAGGCTTACATCATGCCTTGATTGATATTGTTGTTAATTTTATGTTTATTGTTTGTTGAGAAGAAACAAGATTAAGGTTGCATAATAATTGGGTTGAAAGAAAATTGAATTGAGGGATTTGAGATTTTAAGAGTTTCCATTAAACTTCGTATTTTCGAAAAGAAATGATAAATATCATAATAACTTAAGAAATCTATAATTGACCCCGTCGCATGTATGATTCACGAGCGGGGAAGTCCCTTAAATTATGTTTGACCGCGTCGCACGTATAATTCGCGAGCGGAGTATTACTTTTTACTACTCTCATGGGAGCGGGTCGATCGCCTCGGCAGGTTAATAGATGCATGTATGGTTCGCGCCATTCGTCTATCTGGCAGTGCGCAGTTTACTTTTATGTTGGATCGGCCCGTACGCCTCGGCATTTCATATATATATATATATATATATATATATATATATATACATATACTATCCTCATGGACACGTGCGTGATATTTGGCCAGTGAAATCTGAGGAATTTTTTCCTGATTTGAATTATGACTACTTCCTTAATGAAATCCACTATATCTATATATATGCTCCGGTTACGGAGGGAACTTGCTAGTTGAGAGCGTGAGTTAAATTATAAAGAGGGGAATTGAATCACGTATTTTATACTTGTTTGTTTCACATATTTACTCTGTTTCATGTTTATTCCCTCTTTTACTCTATCCGATATTATTGGACCACTAGTAAGCGTCGGAGTAGACCTCTCGTCACTACTTCTTCGAGTGAGACGGAATACTTACCCGGTACACGTTGTTTTTGTACTCATACTATACTTGCTGTGCATTTTTGTTGCACAGGCACCTGTATGACTAGTGGCCTAGTCAGGCGCAACGGCATGTTCGATACGGGGACTTAGGTGAGTTGCACCTCTCAAGAAGACCCGCAGCCGGCAGAGTCTCCTTCAGAGTACTGTATTGTATTTTCCCTTCTGTCTACTTGTATTCCGGACAGTTATTGTATTACATCTTGTTTTTTCTAGAAATTGCTCATGCACTTGTGACACCGGATCTGGAGTTATTATGGGATTATTCAGTAGTTAAATTTTGTAAATATATCGTTATTGATTGAGTGAAGTTTATTGTTTAAATGTTAAAGGAGATGATTTCAAAAATATTAATACGAGAAATTACTAGTTATTTGGTGTTGGCTTGCCTGATAGTGGTGTCCGACGCTATCACGACCCTTAATGGATTTTGTGTCGTGACATAAAGAAAGACTTAGAACTAATGGGGGTGCTTAACTTTAATTTGTGTCGGATATACAAAATTTAGATTGGATGGGTCATGGGTCCAACCTCTAAAATTTTACTATTGCATTCGTTGAAATTCTTGGTTTAGGATTTAATATTTCTTAAGATATTACTCCCTTCGTCCCACCTTAATTGTTGCTTTAGCATTTTTCATGGTTATTAAGAAAATAATAAATACAAGTACAAGATATAGTTTAGTAAGTTATCCCTATTAAATATTTTTTGAGAATCGAGCAATATTAAAAAGAACTACTATTTCTTTAAAATTAAGTGGCATAATCAAAAATAATTAACAAAAATTTAGTCTTGAATTCCTAGAGTGACAATTACTTTGGGATAATTTTCTTGAGCTAAAGAGACAATTAAAATGCGACGAAGGGAGTCCTAATCATTCACATAAATTTTTGCTCCGTATTAAAATTATTGATCTCAATGTTAAAATTATTGATCATAGTAGAAAGCACGTTGCTAAGGGAAATTACAGGCCGATGGTCATAACTATTTAGTGATTTCAAGGGCCGAATTACAATAGGCAGGAACCCAAAGGCTAGCTTAATCTAGTAGAAATGGTGTGGGTAGTCACTTTTTAAAGTGATGTTTAGTTTTTATCCAGCATTTTTAATGCTGAGCAAAAGTAGATACTACTCTATTAAAATTAATATGAAAAGACAAGACAGTGTTGTCACCTTTCTTCTATCTCTTTTCCTTCCCAAACCCTCTATCAAAATTTCAAAACCCTTTCTTACGATCAAAATTTCGCAAACTCCTCTCGTTACTTCTCTTCCCCATGCAGCAAGTTCTTCCCCAACTTCATCCTACTTCCTAAACCGAAAGGCAAACCACTTCCTCGACGTTGCAGAACACTTCCTCGATGCTGCAGACCACTTCTCCAGCGACTTCGAATTTTTGTTGCAAGATTTTCCTGCTTATTTCAATATTTGTTGGGAAACAACTTTGTGAGTTGCTTCTACAGATTTGGACCATTTGTGGTCTAATTTGCTAGGGTTTGTCGATAATTTGCAAAGCCGATTTTGGAGAAGACGACCACCTGGGCTTTGTTGATTTCATGAAAATTGAATCAAATTAGCTATTGTGATGTGTTTATGCTGCTATTTGGAAGCTGTATTCCTTACTTGAGTTTGTTTTGTGGGGATTAAACGAGAATCAAATTCAGTTTCTGAAATATCCTTAACTTCTGGACATTAAGCGAAATAAGTAAACATTAGGACATTATTTTCTAAACGTCGTGAAAGAGTAAATACAGCTTTAATTAGTGGCTAACTGTGCACTTCCTCTAATTGCTAATCATATATGAAAGCATATTTTCAATACTTAATTAAGTAGAACAGATCATACAAAACGTAGGGTTTCTTAGATTTAGCAACATGTACAACAACACTACATTTTCACTTGCTTCGGCGCTCGTTTTCTGGCCCATCATCAACTGCTTCATTATTATTGTCAATGGCTTCTGTGATTCTTGGCACCCTTCCCAGAATATTTACCTACATTTTTTCCAAAACAAACATACCCTCAATTATTAATCGAAATTTCGGGACTTGATGGTATAAAACCATTATAAAATCATAGAAGTCTAAGCTGGTAGATCTTTTATATGGAAAGTTTCATCATAAATCAATTGTTAGGAAATTTGACACATAGCTCTAGAACTGAAGTTTTTATTTTATAACTGGCGAAGAGCTGAAGTTTTTGTTTTGTAACTGGCGAGTTTTTATTTTATAACTGGCGAAGTTTTTGTTTTGTAACCGGAAAACTTCAGCTCTAGAGCTGAAGTTTTTGTCTTTGTAACTGGGAAACTTCAGCTATAGAGCTGAAGTTATTTAGTTCATTGTATGTTTACTACCCCAAATGACACTCTTTTGACGTAATTTTTACCTGGATTCTTTTACTGCAATTGTTATGGCCCAGTTCTCAGTTCCTTTTCTTTTCAATGGAACGATGACATTAATATACAAACCTGAAGTTCATCATCCAGGAGTAGATCATCTTTTTCTAGGGTATTAGACTAGTAGACTAGATAGAAAATAGCAGCAGCAGCAGAAGAAGAAAATGAAGGAGGAGAAGGAGGAGGAGAAAGGGAGCTGACGTTATTTAAAAAGTGGGTACAAGTTAAAAGTTTTTAAAAAAATGGGTATAGGTTAAATGGGGGCGACCAAATTGGGCGCCCCATGCAATTTTTACGAAAATAAACTAGTCCTTTCACAATCTAAATACTTAGATATCAACAAAAGTTTCTAACATGTAGGGAACAGAAAGGAGAGATGGAGAGAAAATGTCTAGAGCTCCTTCAATCTTTTTTCACTCAAAGTTGAAGGAACTTTCGTATCAAATATAGGAGTTTTACAAGATTACGTCCCGAACTCCCTTCAATTACTCTCTCACCGGTCAGTGTCAGCTAACATGGACAAGTAAAATTTGATCAAGTCAAAATTAACCAACAACAAGATTTCGTGTAGCTTATAAAGTTACATACAAAAAGGGCAGCCCGGTGCACTAATAAGCTCTCACTATGCGCGGAGTCTGGGGAAGGGGACGGACCACAAGGGTCGATTGGGCCAGACCACAAGGGAAGTTACATACATTTTCAAAATTCTCAATGAAAATTCTTGGTTCCAAAACATCTACAATATTCTAATAGACAAAGAAGAAAAACAACATATACTAACACGGGATGGTCATGAAACAAAGGGAACATAAAATTTATCTGGAATTCCTTCTATCTTTTTTCACTCAAAGTTGAATGAACTTTCATATCAGATATAGGCGAGTTACATAAAATTACATCCCGAACTCCCTTCGATTAATTACTCTCTCACCAGTCAGTGTCAGCTAACACGGACAAGTAAATTTTGATCAAGTCAAAATATAATTAACCAACAACAAGATTTCGTGTAGCTCATACATTTTCAAAATTCTCAGTGAAAAAATTCTTGGTTCCAAAACATCTCCAGTATACTAATAGACAAAAGAAGAAAAACAACATATACCAAAATAGGATGGTCATGAAGAAATACTCATAATGGACATAGGCTATAGGTATTTTGCCGTTGTTGATGAGTTCAAACTTATAAGTATCTCCTAATTGATATAAAAACACTAAGTTTTGCTGCTTCAAGGATTACTAGTTTTGGAGTGTGAAACAAACACGTCGATATATATTCACATGAAAAGTGAGTGCAGAAAGAACAGTTGACACACTTTTCGTTCTATATATGTTTCTGAAGTTTAACACTGTCAGTCCACTAGTTCAATTGACCATTACACAATCTTTTTAATGAAATAATGCACAAAACATCCTAGCATTGGGCGTTTATGCTAGTTTAGTATTTCTCAGAGAATTCACTTAAAAAGAACAACGATTTTCATACTAGATGAGAAAACTTGCCTTGATACTTCCTCATTGGAGTCTTTCCCACTAGTAACAACCTGAAATTTCCATATTGGTGTCTCTCCACTAGTAACAACCTCAAACATAATACGATCTCCCTCCTTTAAGCAATTATCAGCAATAAATTTACGTAATCCATCTCCAATATAGACTTGAGTTTTGCAAACACTTAGCCTTAAAGTCCACGATCCTTGCCTTTCATCTCTTATGATCAGAATGCACTTCTTGTTGGGCTTGAGACCATTTGCGCATGCGAAATGTTTAGGAACGTTCTGACATGGGGTATAATCAGTTACACACACAGTTACTATTCTTCATATTTTCAGTTAACTAAGATAAAAGTAAGAACAATGGGGCACATGCTTCCTTTGGACTGATGATTCTTGAAAAGTTAGGGTGAAATTAATGAGTTTTGAGACTTACCAAGAAACCATATGTAAGGCAATATGGTCTAATAGTGCATACAAATTTAGAATGGCCAAAAGGATGGTGAGCGGCAGCTTTTGCATCGGCAGAAGCCTTGTTTGGCAACTTGATGCTGGGGCTCGGCTTTTCTGTTACATCATCAATAAATTAAGTTTCTTGAATGATTTAAACTATGTGGCATAGACACTGAAAAGTCATATAGTCGGTCCCAATTTACTAGGAATCGATCCGTAGTTGTTGTTTGACAAATTACATATCCAACCCACCTTTGTTCTTCATGAAGTTAAATATGACAAATTACACTTCAGAAAAAGGAATAGAAGTTAAATATGAGACAAAGATACAGCAACAAGCTAAGGATATGCTCTTGAAATTCAGACCTTCAGAGGAAACTCTTTTAGTGTGCAAATTAGCCTTTTTTCCTTCCGGCTGGAGAGATGCATTTCCCCTCAAATCTAGTTTTAAAAAGAAACAACAGTGTCAGATCAGAAGATGAAGATGATTTAAAACCACAAGAACATTATCTCGGGAGCTTTCTATCTTTCCTACTTTATGCAGATCTTTTGCATATTAAAGCTACTTTTCGAGCCATTACGTTGATTAATCATCTATTTGCAGGTTCTTTGCATTATGTGATCATGGTTTTGCTAAATTGCAAATGATTATTATATGTGGAAAAAGTCATATAATTTCCTCAATTTGGTTAATCAACTATATTGAAGCCTCGATTCCATATTGCTGCATCGAGATATCTTTTCCAGAAGTTCTTCTTTGTACAAGTACTGTTTGTATATATCTCTCTCTTCCTCTCGAGCCGAGGGTCTTTCGGAAACAACCTCTCTACCTCCCCAGACCCCACTTGTGGGATATCCCTGGGTTTGATGTTGGTTAATCAACTATATACAGCATTCCTTAGCACAATATTTTCCATCATGTAATACCAGTAGAGTATCGGATCTTTGGGAAACCTCAAACAAGTCCTTATTAGCTCTGCTCTACTACCACACATTCAACAGAAGTTTTTTATTTACCATTAGACATTTAGCCTTGGCATTAGAAATGAAAAGGAAAAAAATGTATTAGATACAACAAGGATTTCTTGAAGTACAGACCTTGAGTGGAAACTCTTTCAGAATCCAAATTAGTCTTCTTTCCTTCGGGCTGGAGTGACGCTTCTCCTCTCAGATCTAGTTTTTAAATCGACAGAAATAATCAACAATGTTAAATCGAAAGAGAAGATGAATCGAAAACCAATAAAGTAGAAAAGAACTGGTATTGTCACAATACAGAAAGAAAATAAATTGAGGTGGAAAGGAGAGATGAATAGTATCTCGGAACAGCTAATTCAACTCTCAGAAACATATATAGAGCTTTTTTTTTTAGAGGATGACGTATCTCACGGTATACTACTCGGTAAAGTGCTTGAATAAGCGAAATAAAAAACTGGAGAAGGAACTTTTTGAAGAGCTATAAGTAGCTCAAAAAGGCCTTCGACGAACTCAAGAGCATTTCGCAGTAATTGTTACTCTCAAGAAACGGGAAAAGCTTTACTTTCAAAGATTCTTAAAAAATTATTAGATTCAAGACTCTTTTAAATAAAAACCTACCAAAGACGAGCTCGACATGTTAATATCAGTTGATGGAATTGGGCATTTGAAGGACTTCATAAAAACTTGAGAAAACATAAAAGATACACTACCAATAAATGGACAAACATGGTGTGGTCTGTTTAAGGAATACGCTATTTTTCACTAACAAAACTCGTGTCTAGCTAGTATTTTGAAACCAGTAGAGAAGCTACTATTTTCTACTAAGATTGGAGGTGTTCAATTAAGGTTGGAGACGAAAATAGTTGAGAAGCTGTACACTTAGCTGGATGCAAGGTAAGTGCAGATCTCAAAAAGAGGTTTCCCTAAAGATAAGCGTACCAGATAGCTATATATGTATGATTAAATTTTGCGTGAAATGTACATTAGGAGATGAGTGTATACATGGAGACTTTATGAGTACTAGTTTTTAGTTTCAGATATATGTATCATATACTCTATGAATGTGGTGATATATATTACAGCTCAATTGATTGTGCATGATATATATCGATAAGAAATGGACTTTGGGCCTAACTCTAGCTCATACGGTGAGGATTGCCCAAGATCATATAAAGAGTCTCATTGCTTATCCCACAAACGATGTGGGACTACTAACACTCCCGCACGCCCATGCCTGCCAACTCAATTTCATGAGGGCCCATAGAGATGGGCATGGCACTTATACCATGATAAGAAATGGACATCGAGCTTAACTCAATTTCAAAAGTTAACTCATGAGTTAAGGATGCCTAAGACCATATGAGATGCATAGATACAAGTACTATGTAGATTTCCTACACATTTGCGATAGCATGAAAGCAATATCAGGTGACTGAGGATGGCCAGCGTCCAATCCAGTCTAGTTTTACAGTATCAGATTATTATTGATGGCTTGATAGTCCATCCAGTTCACATAAAACAGTATCAGATTCAGATATTTATGATGGAACAGGTGTCCATCTACTATAGCATACAACTTATAAATCAGTTACAGAGAAACTATGGCATAGCAACAGTTACAAACAGAAGCTTTAATAACTAGACAGGATCCTTATAAACAGAATGTCATTTCATTGTAATCTTGATTTATAAGAAGTAGATAAATAGTGGAAAAGCGGATGAAATATAAGAAAAGGGCTAAGATGTGAAATTTACCGCAAAATTTCAATATAGGTTTCTCTCCCTTGGAAAATATCTCAAACATTATATGATCTCCTTCCTTTAAGAAATTAGCAGCGCAAAATTTACGCCATTCACCTCCAATGAAAGTGCTGCCTCCACAGGAATACAGCCTAAATTCCCATGACCTTTGCTCATCTCTTATCACTATTGTACATTTCCTGTTGCTGAGGCCGTTTTCGCATGCAAACAGTTTCGGAACATGCTGAAACAGTTTATAACCAGTTGCACGTATATAGTTCATATTTATACTTCACACTTTCGAATTATTAAGGAAAAAATATTTCTGATAACAAAATGAGTTCATCTTTTTTTCCTTTTTTCAAGTGTTACAATTAAAGTAGAATATAGATTTGCACTTACCATCAAACACTTTGAAATACAAGAGGGCTTGACAGTAGTAATTAAATGAGGGCGACCCAGAGGCACGTCCTTAGTCGCTTCTACATTGGGGAAAACCTTGAGCGATGACATGATGTTGGGATTTGGTTTTTCTGTAGAATTTGTTAGTTACACAAAATTTCATGTCAAAGATTTGAAAACTACATCACGAACAAAAGAACATATCAATACTTCAACCTGATAGAACCTGTCTGAACGGCTAACTTTCCTACTATATGTGCATTTTTTGTACAATACAATTACTTTTAAGTCTACAAATTTGATTAATCAACTAATTTCAAATTCTCTTGTACTATCTTGTGAGTCTCACCTAAAATTAATTGAGACTACTTACCAAAACAGAGCTACTGATGGATGAAGGTTAACTATAGTAGAAAAGATAGGAGGATTAGCTTTAGGAGATGTTAAAATCTTAAACATTAAGGTCTTAATCCTATGACAAAGATACAGCAACAAGATTTGCTCTTGAAATTCAGACCTTCAGTGGAAATGCTTTTAGCGTGCAAGTTAGTCGTCTTTCCTTCCAGCCGAAGAGATGCATTTCCCCTCAAATCTAGTTTTTAAAGGAAACAACAGTATCAAAACTGAAACCGAAGAACATTATTGAAGTAACAAGGGATTGAGTATTGTAGTCGCTCTATTTCTTTTCTACAGGAAACTAATTAAACCAATTAAATTATGTTTTCTTCACTTATTCTAGTCTTCAAACATCATTCTGTTTATGCATCCAGTATATGTTTAATAAGTAACCAGGATCACAAATGTGCCTTAAAGAAGTTCACCTTTGAATTCAAATTTCTTGGAAGTCTCTTCAACATTGTGGACTTTTTGTTCTTCTTCATATTCCCTATCACATTGATTAGAATGAAATACGGAAACTTCGAACTCCATATCTCCTTCATGTCCGAACACCAACATATCTCCCAATTGCAAATCATGCTCCTCTGCAAACTTTTCCCAACCTTCTTCTAGACGTCGGCCGTTCACCTTCACCAGCCACTTCTTACTACCCCTTCTCAGTATTGCATGTTCAATATGGTCGTGATCCTTGAGATACTTCAAGAATCCTAAAGGAATTTTCTGCAATATAACAAATATGTAAAATTAGAACAACCTTGTCCCGGAATGACTGACATCCTTATTTGGGAAGTGCAATCCAGAGGCTGAATTGACGAGTTCAACTGAACCCATCATTTTTTACGGAACATCCAAATATACATGTAAGAATTTAGTAAAATATTACAACAAATATTAAATACTCTAGACTCATAAATTCAAAAGTGCAATGGCAATGGGGCATGCATTTGATTGGGTTCAACCGAACCTAACATTTTTGACACAAAGTATATATACATGTGAAAATTTACTAAAATATCTAGCAAATACTCCATCTGTCTCAATTTATATTCTTTTTAGTCTATCCCATTTCAAGCTACACAAATATTTATGGTTTGTTTTAGACCACAAATTTCAAAAGTCTGTCTTTCTTTCTTATACCGGGTGCTAAATTAAAGTACTATCATATAAATTGAAACGAAGAGGTATTAGCTTCTGATTTAGGTGATGTGAGCTCAGTACTAAGAACCTAAAAGGTTGGTCTCGTAAAGTTTAAACTTTGGTACCTTCTACTGTGACAATACTTTATCTACCCAACTAATCAATTAAAGAAGATTCATTTTAGATTATGGTTTTGATGTTCAGCTTCTTCTATGATAAACTGTCACCTTCCCCCCCCCCCCCCCCCCAAACCACACACACACACAACCTTTATATCACACATGCAGACAAATTAAAGATGAAAAATTGAGAAGTACTCACAAGGCCATTCTTGAAACCTGGCATAATTGGTTTGAAAAAGTGAGGTTTCTTTGGAGGGATTTTCATGGCGTCCAAGGAAAGGTAGTTATTGTAGAGAAAAAGTGCTCTATTTGTTTTCCATTACATGCAAAAAGAAAGAATTTAGGAGAAACAATAGAGTTGTAGAGGGGTCTTTTCATGTTAGGGGACTCTGTAAACAAGTAGTACTATGAACTAAAACATTTAAGTATTAAGTTGATGTGCTATTCTCAGTATTCGCACAGTAAAGCTAAAGATCATTTACAATTTTGTCTCAACTATAGCAATTCTTGTACTCCCATTGCCCTAATTTATGTGGCATCATTGAAATTTAAGAAATAAATAAATCGGAAGTTTTTTAATTTTTGATAAAAAAGTGTGGAGGTCGAGGATTAAGGTAGAAGATTAAGTAACATAGTGTTCTCCTTGTTCACACCAATAGTATTAGTACATACTCTCATATTTTATTGGTATTAGGTTTCTATTACTAGTTGTTATTTCTTTCATTTCGACCATCCTATTATCTTGTTGTTATTAACGCATCTTTTCCAAGGCTCCTTATTGTTGTTTCTTGCTTTTTTTTCTTTCTATTAATGTTGTGCTTATACTTTTCTGAAGCGAGGGCTTATTGGAAACATTGTCTTTATTTCACAACTTCACAAGGTAGGAATAAGGTCTGCCTACACATTCTCTCCCAAATCCGCTGTCCGCACTATGTGGGATTATACTAAGTATGTTGTTGTTGTTGTATCGTCTAAAACAAGAGTTACACATTTGTGGCTAAAAACCACCTCATCAAAAGTTAGAAGAATTTTTTCTAAATATAAAAAGTAAAATGATTTTTTTTTGGAACAAACTAAAAAGAATAGAGTGCCACATATAACAACAACAACAATAACAACAACGACCCAGTAAAATCCTACTACTGGGGTCTGGGGAGGATAGTGTGTACGCAGAACTTACCCCTACCCCGAAGAAGTAGGGAGGCTGTTTCCGAAAGACCTTCGGCTACGAAAACACAAAGACACAATATCAGTACCTCCAATAGAAACATAGGAAAAATAACATCATGAAAATGAAAAAGTGGATGCAAAGGAGAAATGATAGACAGTGTATAGACCCGGCGCTATGAAAAACGAAATAGTAGTAAAACAGTAGTAAAACACAACATTACCACTAGCTGACTAGGGGGAAAAAAACCTACCAGACTAGCCTCACAAAGGGACGAAGTAAGGAAAGACTCAAGTCTCTCCTAACCTACAACCTTAATACACCTCCACAGCTTACTATCAAGGGCCATGTCCTCGGCAATTTGAAGTCTCGCCATGTCCTGTCTGATCACCTTTCTCCAATACTTCTTAGGTCGTCCTCTACCTCTTCTCGTGCCCTCCAAAACCAGCCGCCCACACCTCCTTACTGGAGCATCTGGGCTTCTCTTTTGTACGTGTCCGAACCGTCTGAGTCTCGCTTCCCGCATCTTGTCATCAATGGGAGCCACGCCCACCTTCTCCCCGGTATCTTTATTCCTATTCTTATGCATAAATAAGGGCAAAATGAATAGTAATAAATAATTTGATTGACACGGATACAGTATAAAGTATTTAAACTATCACTATATTGTTTTACACATAGGCAGACCACCTATATATTTTGCTAGACACTAATATCACTTACTATAGGTTTAATCACCTTATCTTTTATCTTTTAAAAGAATTTTTGACGGTAATGAAAAAGTGAAAGCCATGAAAAATTGCTACGTTCATTTTAAAGAGAATGAAAGAGCACATAATAGAAAGGTTAAACCTTGTAAAGTCGCAATATTTTTTTTAATATTTTTAGAAATAAAATTTACATAAATAGAAATTAGACAGAAAGTCCTCCAAAGTAAAAGAATAATTCTCAATTAAATTATATATTTAAATTGTTGTAATACAAAAAATAAGTTATTTGATTTCCTAAACTTAATAGTATCATATAAAGTGGAACATTTATCAAAATTATAATTTTAAAAAAAAAAAAGACTCCTTCGGAGTACTTTTAAGTATAAAGCAAGAAAGTTTAAAACCTTGATTATATCGAAATGATAATAGCTGAATAAATAAAGAACATTTTCTCATAAAGTTATTCAAAGTTGAGCTCATTTATGAAAAGACAGGATGAAATCTTCGCACTTTTCGGAAAAAAAGGTAGAATGTACTATACAAATCAAAATGCAAGATGACACGGAGTATCTTCATATAAAAGTCCACCCTGTAATCTATAGGTTCACGTGAATTTCCCAGTTTTGTCCAAATTTTGTATATGTATTAAAAAACTACTAAATATCTATAAATATATAATGTTGAACTCAATTATTATTAAGTATTGTAAAATCCTATAAATTTCAGACAGTGGCGGCTCTAATGTTGTACTTAGTAAGGCTTGTGCCTTAGGCCCCCAAATTTGGGAGGCCCCATTTTTTAGAATAATGATTTATAGGTATTTTAAAAAAAAATATTTAGTACTTTTAGTACAAAAGTAGAGTTTCTCATATAGAAGGAAAGAATTTTTTTAGCTATGTAAATAAAGTAATTGTTTAGCTTACTTAAAAATGGGTAGTATGGAAAGTTAAGGTGAAATTGATTCGACAAGGAAAATGGTACAAGTAGAAGATACTACTCAAATCGATATACCCAATCAAATAAAAAGACTTTCTTTTCCAAATGCTTATTTTGCTTATAGAATAATGTTGACGGTTTCTATAATAATTGTCTCAGCAAAAGAAGTTTTTCAAAATAAAATAGAAAAATCTTAGCGATGATCAATAATGTATCAAAAAGATTAAATGGGTTGGCTATATTAGTTGAAAAGATACTATTTGAAAAAAAAATGATTATAAATGTATTATTCAACTTTGCATCTCAAAAATCTAGAAGAATGGACTTCAAATATAAATATATATTATAATATTTTTTTTAAATTTAAGCGTCATATTAAACTTTGGCTTTAGGTCACACATGTGATTGAGCCGCCCCTGATTTCAAATCCTGAATTTGCCTTTTGAAAAGTATGAAAATATATGTAAGTGCGTAACAAGCCTGTTAAAATGGGTCAAATTACAACAACATGATCATTGAATTCCACTAAAATCTTGAAAAAACATGTGCATGTCATGTGATCAAAGAAGGGCGATTGAAACAGAAGTAGAATAAGATTGAGCTCATTTATGAAATGACTATGAATTTTTTGCATTTTTACTAAAATGCTTGACTGTATTTTACTTTACAAGTCAAAAAACAAATCACGTTGAATTTATTTTGGCAAAACGTAAATGTCACTCCTAAGGTAGGACATAATCTAGCTTCTCAAAATGTACAAAAACATCTATCAAACTAAGTCATTTTTAAGTCAACTATAATAAGTGTTTATACCAAAGGTGAGTTGATATCACAATAAGGAAAATGACATTGTACAGCCGCTATAAAAATAATAGTCGAAAAAAGTATATAAGATTTGTATACTTTTTTGTATATATACACACATTCTGTATGTTATATAAAAAAACAATACAAATTTTATATACTTTTTCGACTACCAAATATAAATCGTTTCTGGCGCAGCTAAAAGTGATAATACCCCAAAAAAGTATGCAAGTAACCTATTAAAATCGGTTAAATTACAAGACAACTATACCATCATTGAATACAACTACAATTTTGAAGAAACATGTACATGTCAAATCAAATGAAAGGCAACTGAAGCAAATATAATACAGCATATAAAAAAAGGGTTGGCTTTTGAAGAACAAAAAAACTAAATCTTCTGTTGAGATTAGGCAACAAGTAGTAAATCCAAGAACATCATATTCTTCAGTTTTCCTTTCCTTGCCCATCACCAACTGCTTCACTAACTTGTCAAGGGCTTTGCTTGGCATCCTTCCCAGAATATTTACCTGAAAATTTTCTTTTAACATAACATACTCTCTTCACAATGAATCAAAATTTTGTAGACAACCACTATATAATAATAAAAGTCTAATACCCTAAGCTAGATTTTCTCTGGGGTTGGGGGTAGATTTAGTCGGGGCATCTGCAGAAATGGCCTTTTTTTACGCCACTAGACTAATGGGGTAGTATTTAAAGAGTAGACATAAAAAAAGGCCATATAGTGCAAATAATCCGATTTTGTAAAGCAGTACATCCAGATTATTTAAAACCTTTCCAAATCCTTTTAATATCAAAAATAATCTTTCTGTAGCGAGGATCATTGAAATAAGCAAGAATACTATTTCGACGGAAAATACAACTTGCAGGGATTAATTCTTTCAAAGCGTGGCATAATATTTTCAAATCACTAACACAGAATTTGTTCACGATTCCATTCTCTCCATTTTAATAGCCTGACAGGAAAGAAGAAAAACAACAGCAGGTATTGCATGGAGGAAGATTGTGAAAATAAGTAAATACTTACCCGCACCCAATTTTTACTTTTTACACAAAATCAAGGTATTTAACCTAAGCAATTAAAAAATAAAGTGAAAATACAAATCACTTAACCGTGGTTAATGATAATTGTATGTATGAAAGACACTTGTCATGCATTTTTTGGTTTGGTGTAAACACTTTGTGCAAATAAGTTCTTATCATGAAAATATAGGGAAGCAAAGCAATACTCACAACGGAAATACACCACGGGCACTTTTACGTTGTTGATGAGTTCAAACTTATAAGTATCTCCTACTTGGACATCATTTGCTTCTCTGAACTGTTGCCATCCCCTGTTACTCCAAACATGATTTGTCATTGGCCCTAGTTGAACTTCGAGAATTATCTCACAACGTCTATTCATCAAGCCATCTGATTTTACAAAAGCCAATGGAAGATACTGCTCAAGTTTATCACATTGTTTAGACCAATGTCGTGTTAGCATTAGCATCATCAACAGATGTTGAAGCAGGTACTTGTGCTTTTGGAGCAGTCACTTTTGAGGTATGAATCTTAAGGCCTGTTATTCCTTTTAAAAGTACATGAAGGAAAAGACAGAATCAGAGAAATGAAAGGAAAAAATGTATGAATACATCAACAAGGGTTTGCTCTTGAAATCCGGACCTTGAGTGGAAACACTTTTACCATCCAAATCGATCTTCTTTCCTTCGGGCTGAAGTGATGCATTTCCTCTCAGATCTAGTTTTTAAAGACACAACAATATAAGAAACAAAACTAAAACCAAAAAGAGAATTTGGTTAGAAATGTTATTGTCACATTAAAGGTTGAAAATAAATTTTTAGCGGAAAAGAAGATATGAAAAGAAATTAGGAAGGGCTTATTCAACTCCCAGACTTATAGGGCTTCTTTCAAGGACCTGAAAAAGGTCAACTGCAGCCAAAGCCTAACTTGACCATAAGTAGCTCCAGATTTTATTCTCAGTTGATGGAATTTTTGAAAAACTCATAAAACTTGAGAAACATAAAATATATGCTACCAATAAATGAGCAAAAATGTCGTCCTTAGAAAAGCTTTAATAACTAGAGAAGGACCTTATAAGTTAATATTATGTCATTGTATTTACGATTTAAAGAAAGAAATAGACGTACACTAGCAGATGACATTTGGAATATGTTTTTATCAATTTCTGGACTTGCGTTAGTCATGCCTTACGGTATCAAGGATGCTTATGAGAGCTGGTGCCTTTTGAACTTCTTCGGATTGTGTCTGCTCCTTAGTTATTCAGTAAGTTTTTGTATGTGAGCAGTCACTCTTTCAGTCTTTTGTATATTTTTTCTACGCATCTTCATGATGCCATTTAATGAAATTATCTTACTTCATCAAAACCAAAAAAAAAAATGACAAAAAACTGGAGAATTGAATTAAATTTAAGAGGACATAGATGAGAAATTAACCGTGGAACTTCAATATAGGCTTCTCTCCATTGGCTACTATCTCAAACATTACTCGATCACCTCCTTTTAAGCAATTAGCAACGCAGAACTCACGCCATCCACCTCCAATGAAGGTGAATCTGCCACATGAATATAGCGTAAATGTCCATGACCTTTGCTCGTCTCTAACCATTATCGCACATTTCCTGTCTCTGAGACCATGTTGTCGTGCGAATGCGCTAGGAACATGCTGGAACAGTTTATAACCAGTATCACATAAGCAGTTCATATGTTTTTTCTGAATTTTCTCATAACTAGATGAGTTCTTACCAGAAAGCACTTTGAAAGGTAATAGGGTTTCATGGTACAAATGAAATGAGGATGACCAAGATGCAAGTCCTTAGCAGCTTCTACATTGGGAACAGCCTTGCATGATGATATGATGTTGGACTTTGGTTTTCCTGTTACATTTGTTAATTACACAAAAAGTCATGTAAGAAATATATATGGAAAGAATACTTACGAATTACGATATACGAACAGAAGAACATATCAATAGCTCAACATGATAGAATCTGTCTTGGAGGCTATAGATCTATCCTACTGTATGCAGATTTCTTGCATAGTAAAACTACTTTTCAGCTATGAAGACGATGAATCTACTTTCCCATATTCTCTCTTGCACTATCAGATCATGGTTTTATTCAAATTCAAATGCTTATTATTTGTGAAAAAGTCGGATATTTTCTCAATTCGGTTAATCAACTATATACAGTATTCATTGTGTAATACATCCTTCCTGAAAAGAAAAAAGTCATGTAAGTTAAATCAAATTCTCAATTAGTTATTGTGAATCATATCTTAGCACAACATTTTTCATCATGTAATACCTGTAGTGTATCAGATCTATGGGAAAGCTCAAACAAGACCTTACTAGCTCGGTTCTATTATCACATATCTGTTAGAAGTTAACTCTAGTTACCATTACAATTAGCCTATGTATTATAAATGAAAGGAAAAAAACGTATTAGATATAACAAGAAGGATTTGCTCGTGAAATCCAGACCTTGAGGGGAAACTCTTTCAGTATCCGAATTAGTCTTCTTTCCTTGGGGCCGTAATGATGCATTGTCTCTCAGATCTATTTTTAAATCGACATAAACAATCCACAATTTTAGAATTGCAACAGAATATGAATCTAAGCCAAGTAGAAAAAAATTGCTTTAGACACAATAAAAAAAGAAAATAAATTGAGGGGAAAAGGAGCGATGAAAGTTATTTTAGAAGGGCTAATTCGACTCTCAGAAAAATATAGCCTTTTTGTTAGGAAATCTTATCTCATAGTTTGCGCTACTCAGTGAAGTGCTTGAACAATCCCAACATAAAACTTGAGAAAGAACTTTTTGGAGAGCTGATGTAAATAGTTCAAAAGGCGTGCTACGAAACTCAAAAACATTTCTCAGTAACTGTTACTCTCAAGAAAGGGGAAAATCTTTCATAGATACTTCTTTTTTTTTTTTTTTTTGAGAAGGTAACATATTTGTATATTAAAAACACACTAAGATGCCAATTGAATGAACAAAATTCTCCTGTAAGCAAAAAATTCTCTCGGCGCACGATAACAGAGTACTCTTTCACTATATAGGCGCACGTTAGTGGTGCAACCAGCATACGCCACCGACGCCGGCATGGCGAAAGGCCGGTCACGGAAGATACAGAACGCGGCACAGGCTCCGGTTCAATTGGCTAAGGGAACACGAAGACCAGCTGGTGTTGCGGATGAGATTGTCACTGCTGCTATGCATGTGGCCACTGCTCAAGTGGAACAATCGAGTATACTCGAAGCTCAGGCGGAAATGGAACGATTAGGTGTGATGCTTACTCCACCTAATGGTGGGACTTCGAGGGGAAACCCTAGCATGGTGAATCAAAGCGGAATGGCTAAGATGCAAACAGGCCCACTCGTTGGGAAACTCAATTCTCTGCAGATTGCGGCTGTGAACCCACAAAAATCTGAGCTTACAAAGCAGCCACCACCACCTATGGAAGAGAAGAAGACGTGGGCGAATTTATTTACAGGGAATCGGCTAGCTTCAAAAGGTATCAATCTTCAATTTATTGCTCCGATAATAAAAAATGGTGTTAAAATGGTCCAATTTGATAAAGCTGAGATCGAAAAGGAATCAGAGACTTGGAAATATGCACTGATACTCTACGTGGTTGGGGAGTCTCCAACTATTGGGGCAATCACCAGATTCCTAGGGAGCAAGTGGACGTTTCAGCATAAGCCTCACATATACTACCATAATGACGGTTATTTTGTGATACGATTCTATAGCTGTGGTGATAGGGATGATGTCTTGATGTCTGGGCCTCATATGATGAATAGTAAACCTGTGATTGTCAAACCCTGGAGTACCAATTTCAATTTCAGTGAGGAGATACTCAAAACAATTCCCCTATGGGTAACGTTTCCTAATTTACCTCTGAGTTGCTGGAGCCCCAACTCTCTGAGCAGACTAGCTAGTGTATTAGGCACTCCTCTATGTGCTGATGAATGCACCTCTCGTAAAGAGAGGATCTCGTATGCCCGAGTACTAATTGAAATGGACATCACTGTCCCATTACCTGAAATTGTCATAGTGTTGGATTCATCTGGCAAGCCCTATGATCAAGAAGTTAGATATGGATGGTGGCCTCAGTATTGTCCAGTATGCTGCCAACTTGGACATATCTTTCAAGCCGAGCAAGTAAAGAACCAACTTAAGTAAGCCAAGATTGAGACAAGGAAGACTAAGCAAGTTTGGAAAAGCAAGGATGCCCCAATACAACCAATACCTGAGATGCCATCTAAGGAGGTGGAGGGTGTTCCTGAAAAATGAAAAAGATGGATGGACAACAGTAAAAGGGAAACCAGTTGCAAGGCCCCAGGTAGTCAATGAAAGTAGTCACTATCTGGTGGATGATGAGAATGGTTTCTCCCCTATGAGAGGAACCTCATTCCAGCGGGTGTTTCAAGCAGCCCTAGGAAAGATGGACACAAGATGCAGCTCTAGCAAAGGAAGAAAGCCTCCTGACCCCCACAGCAATCATCAATGATTATTGATACTTGGAATATTAGGGGTTTCAATAAGCTTTTTAAGCACAAGGAGATGAAGAAGATAGTAAATAAAGAGAAAATAGTAGTTTTAGCCATTACAGAACATAGAGTCATTAAACAAAATGCCTTAAAGATTATGAAGAAAGTCTTTCCTACCTGGAGTTGGCATGATAACTATGATACTAATGGGCGAGGAAGGATCTGGCTAGTATGGGATCACAGGCAGGTTGATGTTACAGTGCTTTGTACTAGCTCTCAGTTCATTCACTATGCTATCAGAAGTGCAGATTGTACTGTTGAGTTTGAATTCACTGCAGTATATGGCCTTCATACAATTGTTGATAGGAAGCATCTATGGCAGGATCTGACATGAATGGAGCCCAATATTCAGAGCCCATGGCTCATTATGAGAGATTTCAATGCAGTACTTCAACCTGATGACAGAATGGGAGGAAGTGCAATACAAGATACAGAGGTGAAAGATTTTGAGGAATTCTTGGAATCAACTGGCCTAACAGTGATGAAAACAGTGGGAAGGTTCTATACCTGGACTAACTCACACATTCACAGCAGAATTGATAGAGCTCTAGTTAATCCTTCTTGGATGTCTCTATGGCCCCAGCTTGCAGTTGAAGCTAAAGACCCCTATTTTTCTGATCATTCCATGCTTTGCATCACATTCAGTAGGAACCCAAGAATGGTTGCAAGACCTTTTAGGTTCCTGAATCACTTGGCTGCTCGTACTGATTTTCTTAATACTGTCTCTACTGTGTGGAATTGTATTGTGCAAGGGGAGTATATGGAGCAAATCTGGCATAAGCTCAAACTAATGAAGGTAGGGATGAAAACTTTAAACGACCATGGGTTCTGTAAAGTCGAGCAGAGGATACAAAATACCAGGCAAGACTTATATGATATTCAAGAGAAGCTAAGAACCTGCTACAGTGATCCAAACTTATATGATATGGAGAAAGAACTTAAACTCAATATAGAGAAATGGATCCTAGTAGAGGAAAGTATCCTGAGGCAACAATCTAGAGTTCAATGGTTGAGGCTAGAAGACACCAACTCAAGCTATTTCCATGCTTGTCTCAAGAATAGGATTGCTCAGAATCACATTAATAGGCTGACCACTACTACTGGAGATGTGGTATACACTGACAGGGCAATTGAAGAAGAGGTCATTGGATTATACAAGGGATTGCTAGGCACTTGTGCTACACAACTACCTGCAACTACACCTAGTGTGCTAGCTGCTGGCCCCATTCTGAATAGAGAGCAACAATTGTCCCTTATAGCTCCAGTCACAAGAGAAGAAGTTTACTTAGCCTTGAAAGATATATCTGATCTAAAGTCCCCAGGATGTGATGGTTCTAATGCCTGCTTCTTCAGGAAAGCATGACCTATTATTGGTGAGGATGTTTCTGATGCTGTGATCCAGTTCTTTCAAACCACACGGATGTATAAGGCTATCAACTGCACCACTGTTACATTGATCCCTAAGGTACAATCCCCCTCTACTATTAAGGAGTTTACGCCCATATCTTGCTGCACTATACTGTACAAACTGATTTCTAAGGTTATTACAAAGAGGATGCAGAATGTCATGGACTATCTAGTGGACAGTAGCCAGGCTGCCTTTGTTCCTGGGAGGGTTATAACTGATAACATCTTATTGAGCCATGAACTAGTAAGGGGCTATGGGAGAAAGAGCATCTCTCCAAGATGTATGATCAAGATTGACAAGCAGAAAGCATATGATTCTGTGGAGTGGACATTTATTGAACAAGTGCTGATTGGTCTGAATTTCCCTAGTGTATTTGTGGGCTGGACAATGACATGCCTTAGGCCAGTTCTTTCTCAATCACTATAAATGGGAAGCCTTCTAAACCTTTTGATGCCAAAAAAGGTTTAAGGCAAAGGGACCCTATGTCCCCCTTCCTATTTGTGTTAGTGACGGAGTACTTGAGCAGAGTATTGAAACAACTGGGGCAAAATCCGGATTTCAACTTCCACCCCAACTGTGCCAAGTTGAATATCATCCAATTGGGGTTTGCAGATGACTTACTTCTTTTCTGTAGAGGTGATGTTACATCAGTAAGGTACTTGATTGAGCACTTTCAGCACTTCTCAAATGTTTCTGGACTCATAGCTAATCCTGCCAAAAGCTCAATCTACTTTGGAGGCATGAACACTGATGTGCAACAAGAAATTTTGCAGATGCTCGGGTTCACTAAAAAAGAACTTCCCTTCAAATATCTAGGGATTCCCCTTAGCTCTAAAAGAATTTCATGTGAGCAATGTAAACCTCTGCTTTATAAGATTCTACAGAGAATCAAATCTTGGACTATCAAGCTCCTGTCCTATGCTGGTAGAGCACAACTCATCAAGTCTGTCTTATTCTCTGTACAAGTCTGCTGGGCTCAAATCTTTGTGCTCCCTAAGAAAGTTGTGCAAATCATAGAAGCTACATGTAGAAGTTTTCTGTGGGCAGGTGGTGCTGAACTCTTAAAGAAAGCATTATTGGCCTGGGACAGAGTATGTCAACCAACAACTGCTGGGGGCCTAAACATCTTAGACATCACAGCTTGGAACAAAATGGCTATTAGTAAATTGCTGTGGAACTTATGCCAAAAGAAAGACAAACTATGGGTTAAATGGATACACTGTTATTATGGGGCTAATAGCAACTTCCTGGAAGACATTCCAAAGCAGACTTCATGGATTATTCAGAAGATTATGAAGGCATCAAAGTACTATATCGAAGCAGGATATGAACTAAGTGACATATACAATATGGATCGATTTTCTTCAAGGGAGTTTTACCAGAGGCTAAGAGGTGAGTTTCCAAAGGTGGCCTGGAGGAAAATGGTATGTAACAACCTTGGACTACCCAAATGGATCTTTGTATTAAGGCTAGCAGCTCATGGCAAGCTATATACAAGGGATAGGCTAAGTAAATGGGGGATGACTAGCGATACAACATGCCCTTTGTGTGGCCAGGAAAATGAAAGTCACTCCCACTTGTTCTTTGCATGTGAAGTGGTTGCTCAAATCTGGCAGAAACTTCTCAAATGTCAAGGTATCAACAGGAGGCCTAGGAACTGGGAAGATGAACTACAATGGCAATCAAGTTTGCTAATGGAAGGTGTGCGAGAGCAGAGGTGTACAGAATGTGTTTTGCAGTTGCAGTCTATGCTAAATGGAGAGAAAGGAATATGAGAGTATTTCAAAGTAATCAACAGCCTGTGAATTTAATGACCAAACATATAATCCGAGAGGTGTATTTTAGAGGTAGTCAGAAACCCAAAGTAGCAAGGTGGTTAGCAAATTTTGACTTCTACCCTACGTAGGTTAGTTCATAGGTGATTTTGATCATGAGCCTGACTTGGAGTGTTGGGACTATTATCCAACTCTCAGTCACCAAATGCTTTGTAATTCAACACCCATTTTGGTAATAAAATCTTTTATTTACCAAAAAAAAAATATTAAAAACACACTACACAAAGGGTGTGTAGTCCCCCATATTTACAAGAACCAAAACAAACCCCTAGTCTTTGTTCTTCTCATAAGGATTCTAAAACATCAAAAATAGATTCAAGACTTCTTGTTTACACCAAAAATAGAACAGGACAAGACATTTCATTTTCAATTTTTGGATGCTACTGGCCTTGTCTTCAAAACATATGTGATTTCTTTCTTCCCAAATTGTCCACCAAATGCAAGCAGGATCATCCTCCATCTCCTTTCATAGATACTTCTTTTCTTTTTTTTGATGAAGTAAGGTGTTGTATTGCTGGCATCAAGAAGATGCAAATAGTACTCTCTCTTTCATAGATACTTCTAAATATACTTTAATAAAATTACTACATTTAAGACTCTTTAATAAATAAAAACATCAATGATGAGTTTGTATTTTATTATCAGTTGATGGAATTGGTCATTTGAAAGACTTCATAATAACTTGAGAAAACATAAAAGATATACTACTAACATCAAAACAAACTTGGCAAATGGTGCCTACTATTTTTCGTGCATCTGGAATGAGAGGAATCACAGATTGAATTTCAACTCCTAGTCACTCTGTTAAAGCAATTTGTCTAAACAATTTATTTAGTTGGTTCAACCAAGTTCCTGTAACTAGCATTGAACTTTGTGTTTGCTCTTTAGTTATTCAGTAAGTTTTTGTATGTGCGCGGTCACTCTTTTGTCTATTTTTGCTACGCATCAAGATGATGCCATTTAATGAAATTATCTTACTTCATCCCAAAAAAAAAAGAGAACTAGACAAAAAATTGGAGAACTGGATTAACTTTAAGAGAAGGGCTTAGATGAGAAGTTAACCGTAAAACTTCAATATAGGCTTCTCTCCATTGGCAACTATCCCAAACATTACTCGATCTCCTTCCTCTAAGCAATTTGCAATGCAGAAGTCATGCCATCCACCTCCAATGTAGGTGACTATGCCACATGAATATAGCGTAAATGTCCATGACCTTTGCTCATCTCTTATCATTATCGTACATTTCCTGTCTCTGAGACCATGTTGTCGTGCGAATGGGCTAGGAACACGCTGGAACAGTTTATAACCAGTTTCACATAAGCAGTTCATATGTTTTTTCTGAATTTTCTCATAACGAGATGAGTTCTCACCAGAAAGCACTTTGAAAGGTAATAGGGTTTCATGGTACAAATGAAATGAGGATGACCAAGATGCAAATTCTTAGCAGCTTCTACATTGGGAACAGCCTTGCATGATGATATGATGTTGGACTTCGGTTTTCCTGTAACATTTGTTAATTACACAAAAAGTCATGTAAGAAATATATATGGAAAGAATACTTACGAATTACGAGATACGAACAGAAGAACATATCAATAGCTCAACATGATAGAATCTGTCTTGGAGGCTATAGATCTATCCTACTGTATGCAGATTTCTTGCATAGTAAAACTACTTTTCAGCTATGAAGACGATGAATCTACTTTCCCATATTCTCTCTTGCACTATCAGATCATGGTTTTATTCAAATTCAAATGCTTATTATTTGTGAAAAAGTCGAATATTTTCTCAATTCGGTTAATCAACTATATACAGTATTCATTGTGTAATACATCCTTCCTGAAAAGAAAAAAAGTCATGTAAGTTAAATCAAATTCTCAATTAGTTATTGTGAATCATATCTTAGCACAACATTTTTCATCATGTAATACCTGTAGTGTATCAGATCTATGGGAAAGCTCAAACAAGACCGTACTAGCTATGTTCTACTATCACACATCTGGTAGGAGTTAACTCTAGTTACCATTACTATTAGCCTAGGTATTAGAAATGAAATGCAAAAAACGTAGTAGATACAACAAGAAGGATTTGCTCGTTAAATCCAGACCTGGAGTGGAAACTCTTTCAGTATCCGAATTAGTCTTCTTTCCCTCGGGCTGGAATGATGCATTTTTTCTCAGATCTAGTTTTTAAATCGACACAAACAATCAACATTGTTAGAATTGCAACAGAATATGAATCTAAAATCAAGTAGAAAAGAATTTCTTTAATCACATTAAAGAAAGAAAATAAATTGAGGGGAAAAGGAGAGATGAAAGTTATTTTAGAAGGGTTAATGCGACTCTCAGAAACATATAGCTTTTTTGTTAGGAAATCCTATCTCGTAGTATGCGTTACTCAGTGAAGTGCTTGAATAAGCCAAAACTTGAGAAAGAACTTTTTGAAGAGCTGCTGTAAATAGTTCAAAAGGCCTTCTACGAAACTCAAAACATTTCTCAGTAACTGTTACTCTCAAGAAAGGGGAAAATCTTTTGTAGATACTTTAGTAAAATACTAAATTTAAGATATATTTGAGAAAACATTAAAGATATATTACTAAAAAATGAACAGATATGGTGTGGTCTGTTTCACCAGGACACTACTGTTCACCAACAAAATGTATGTCCAGTATTTTAAAATTCAAACCATAGAAACTAAATATGAAGATAAGAACAGTAACCACGAGAGTTTTAAAGTATTTATCATCCAAAGAAAGAAATAGATAAAAAGTGAAAACTGGATGAAATTTAAGAGAAGGGCTTAGGTGAAAATTTTGCCATGAAACTTCAATATAGGTTTTTCTCCACTGGCAACTATCTCAAATGAAATGAGGTAATATGGTAATATGGTTTCATGGTACAAATGAAAATAGGGTGAGAGAGAGGCATGCTCTTCGCAGCTTCTACGTTAAGGAAAGCCTTGTGTGATGTCATGAGGTTGGACTTTGGTTTTTCTGTTACATTTGCTAATTACACATAAAGCCATGTAAGAAATAGAAATATTTTGTGGAACTGATACTTCCAATATACGAACAAAAGAACATATGAATAATTAATTATACACAAATACATGACTAGAAATTAAATATGACTGAAAAGATTACAGTTAAAGTATGAATAGCATCTAAACATGCACCTCAGCTTTTGGCTAATTGTTTATCTAATAAAAGTTGAAACTTATTATAAGGTTAAGAGAAATAACTTGCAAATTCATCAAGTATAAACTGATTGTACTATAATAAGCATCAATTGATTAATTTTGTGATGCTATTGATGTTTGTTTCAGTAATTACAGTGTAGTAGCAGTATAGTGCTACTGTTTAAAGTTCTAATTTCCTTTAGAAGATCATAAACTACTGCTTTAGTATATACTCATGTCATCAATATATCTCCGGAAAGGTTGAGGACTACACTGCATCTCTAATGTGACTCTAAAGATCTTTACCATTTGAAATCAAATTTCCAACTGTTTGGTTGGGTAAATTTTTAGAAGTGTAGTTGATATGAGAATCATGTTTTACAGTTTGGAGTTTGGACAATCAAACACTAAGATAGTGTTTGGACATAAATTTGGTTGAAACTTGAAAAAAAAAAGTTTTTGAAGTTGTGCTGATTAATAATTTTTGGAAGTTGAAGTTGTGTTTGGACATGCATTTTATTTGAAAAAAAATGGAAGTTTTGTGAGTGGAAGAAAAAACTTCACCCAAAAACTGGTTTAACTTGAGAAAAAAATTCAAATTTTTTTCAAAAACTGATCGTGTTTTCAAAAAAAAAAAATTGAAAAAATATACCCAAAATTTATGGCCAAACGGGTGCTAAATAATTTGATTGAAGATGTAATACAGTGTTATGGTATATATAACAAAGTAAAAAGATTGTTGAAAATTAAGAGATAGCTTAAATGAGAAAACTTACGATGGAATTTCCATATTGGTCTTTCTCCATTAGCAACAACCTTAAACATTATATGATCTCCAACCTTTATGTCATTTGCATCACGGAATTCACCCCATTTACCTCCAATATAGACTTGACATAGGAGGTATATAGCTTTAAATTCCATGACCTTTGTCTTTCATCTCTAATAATCAAACCACATTTCTTGTTTCTGAAGCCGTTTGCAGTAAATAACGCCAATAAACCAAGGGGAAGAAAAATAAAATGGTGCACAAGTCTCCTTTAGCCCGAAGATTCTTGAAGGGTTAGGGCGAAATGAATTTCGAAACTTACAAAGTAACCTTTCGAAAAGCAATAGGATCTAACTGTGCATACAACATGAGATTGACCAATAGGGTTTTGAGGAGCAGCTTCTGCATGGGGAGAAGTCTTGCATCGTCAATTGTAGACAAATCCATATCAATAAATTAAATATGATCAAAACATGAATAAGATACAAACATCCACCCCATCTTTGAGCTAATTTTTAATCTAAACAAATTGAATGTTAAGGGAATTAAGTTGCAAATTCATCAAGTTTAAGCTAATGGGTTCTAAAGATATCACCTTTGATTTCAAATTTCTTGGAAGGATCTTTAACAGTATGCGCTTCTTCTTCGTCTTGCAAATACTCCGCATACTCTCTGTCACAGTGACTTGAATCAAAGATGGTAACCTCAAACTCCATCTCTCCTTCATGTCTGAAAATCAATAAATCTCCTAACCGTAAATCATGCTCTTCTGCAAACTTTTCCCAACCCTCTTCCAGTCGCTGGCCATTCAGCTTCACCAGCCACTTCTTACTACCCCTTCTCAGTACTGCATGTTCATGCTCATGTCCCTTTAGATACTTCAGAAAACCTTTAGGAATTTTCTGCAGTACAACATCAACTTAGAGTTGTCTTGTTAGAAACCATCAAGCAATTTTGTTTAGTAAGTGAAACAGTAATGTTTTTCTACCCAGATCAACAATTAAAAAGGGCAAAGGGTCAAATTTGCCCCTGAACTATGAGAAATGGTCTATGTCTGCCTTTGGTAATAGTCGGGGTCAATCATATGCCCTTGCCGTAACAAAAATGGGTAATATTTTTCCCTTATTGACTAATGAAACTGATTAGGACAGTTTACTGCTACGTGTCCAAAATTTAATAACGAGAGAAGGGTCAAACTTGCCCTGAACTAAGCGAAATGGTCTAGATATTGCCTCCTTTAATAGTTTCGGTCAATCATGCCGGTAGATATGAATTCTCGAAGGAAACGTGGCAAGAGAGCTGCTCTATTTCACGGAATTGAGGAAGAAGGTATAAGGACTTCTTCATCATACCCTTCGCACAAATTGATGAACAAGAGAATGAGAGGGTAATAGATTCATTGCATGATATGGTTAATCTGCTAAAAAGATCGTCCATTGACACCACCCTTGTGGTGGACCTTGGGATGTGCTGCTTTTCGGAGCTCTTCTATCAAGTATCTTTCCGATTGAAAATATTCAGACCCAGCCCAGTGAATTTTCAGATCCATTACAGCTGAGAACTACCACTACCAATGCAAACAAGCTCTAAGATTCGTTGGGGCTTTAAGCGCAAAGCGCAAATACAGCGTGGGTTTTAATTAAGAAAGATGTAAATGGAGAAAAATATACAAATATGTCTGTGTCGTCGAAGACAAATAATTACAAGTTTACAGCATGAATAATAAATATATGCGCAAAGAAGTTGAAAAATATTAACGATAAAGTGAAATATCAATTGTTTAATGTCGCTTCCTCCGGACTAAGCTCATTGGGCAAGGAAAGTATGTCTTCTTACCGCCTTGATGACGACAAGTGCCCACTAGGCGAGGCAAAGCACAAGTAAGATAGTAGGTGGCATGGGAATAAGGAACTTAAAAATTCATAACAAGAGCTTAATGTGTATATGGCTATGGAGGTATGGAGGTATGGCAGGGAAGAAAATAACCTGTGGAAAGAGGTGGTAACTCAAAAATATGGGAAAATGGGTCATTGGTGCACCAAACCTATCAACACAGCCTATGGGATGAGCAATTGGAAGTCCATCAGAGCATTATGGGAAGACTTTACAGCTAATACTGAATTCTGCCATGGGAATGGTAGAAAAATAGCATTTTGGTCTGATAAATGGATAGGGCATGAACCTTTAAGAGATAGGTTTCCAGAAATATTTAGGTTAGCACTTCTGCCTAAGTCAACAATCAGTGAAGTATGGAGCCAACATGGATGGAATCTCGCTTTCAGGAGAGCATTAAATGATTGGGAAATGGGGACAGTGACTGCATTCTATCTAACTTTGGAGGGATTAAGAAGACCCAATGATAGTGAGGATACCATGGTATGGAATGGTAGGGGCAGTAAGGTATTCACAGTAAGAGATGCATATACTTATTTCTCCAATAATGGACAACAAATCATCAACTGGCCTTGGAAGCAAATTTGGAAGATGAAGATACCTTACAAGGTTAACTGCTTTACATGGCTAGTAGCAAGGAGGGCTTGTCTAACTCAGGATATTCTTCAGAGAAGGGGTATGCAATTAACCTCCAGATGCTTCCTCTGGAACTATGCTGGTAAAATGGTCAGTCAGAAAAAATGGTGGAGGATTATCCCAGCTTGCATCTGGTGGACCATATGGAAGGAAAGAAATAGCAGATGTTTTGAAGAAAGGAGTAGCTCCATACAAGTAGTTAAAATGAATTGTATTTTAAATTTTCACTTTTGGTGTAAACAGTTTTCTGTAGGAGATGCAGAATCTATTCTACAATTTTTGGAAGCCTTGTAAAGTTCACAAGGATAGTACCTTGTAAATACTGTTGCCAGCATAATCTTTGTGCTGATGAATAAAATTTGTTACCATTCTCAAAAAACATGTTTTGCACCTCGCATCAAGGCCTAAGTGCGCCTTTGACAACACTGCTACCAGTAACTTTTACAGTTGCCTGAATTTTCAATGACCATCCTCGTCTTGTCTCATCTCCTCTCCCCCTAGCTACTCCGATAGAACCGTCTCAGCTATCAAACCCCAATTATTTGGTCATTTTCGCCCACTACCCAGACTCCTTATCCCTTAGCCGGTATCTGTTTTGCCCGAGAATGGTATAAATTATCTGTTGCAGTGGAACATTGTTTCACTATTTCCATATCTCCAATTTGTCGTTGTTCGTCGGTTTAAAAGATTAAAATAGGTGGGGGTGTTTAAAGGCGGAGAGGATAAAAAGGGATAGTTAATTTTTAAGCCACGAATGTCATATCTAGGCCATTTCGCACAGTTCTCGGGCAAAATTTGACCCTTCTCCTGTTATTAAAATTTGGACATGTGACAGCAAACCGTGCTAATCAGTTCAGTTAGCCATTGAGGCTAAATATAACCCAGTTTTGTAACAAACTAACAGCAAAGGCATGATTGACCCCAACTATCAACGGAGGGTATATGTAGACATTTTTGCATAGTTCATGAGCAAATTTAACCTTTTTGCATGTTCATATGGACTATGTTTTTCTTTTCTGGGACAAATTGTTACATCCATATCATATAGTAGTATATAAATATATAAGCAAAGATGAAATAATTACTAAAAACGGTTAATTTTGACTCACCAGAGCGCGTTTGAAGCCTGGCAGAATAGGCTTGAAAAATTGAGGCTTCGCTGGACGGACTTTCATAGCCAGCTGTCACAAAAATGCAGTTAACTATCTTTTTCTACTTTGTAATTGATAGAATTGAAAGATTGAAACTTCAATTCAGTTGAGAGGATGCAATTATTTGGTAACTGAAACTTGAAAGGACTGTCAGCTTTCACTGTGGGACTGTGTGAAATTTGACGAAATTTTCAATGAATCCCGAAGCAATTGGGATAAATATTTTATTTACAGGCGTGGGAACTGGGAACTGGCGGGTAAACCAGTCAATATGGGCTAGCCTATGCAGGCCTTGTATTTGACGGACTGGGGCCGGGTCGGTCCAACATTTCTATGGGCCTTAAAATTTCAACTCAGTCCTGTGTGGGGGGAGAAGTGGGTAAAAATTGCACGGGAGCTCTATTTGGTCGGCCCCATTTAACCTATACCTATTTTTTTTAAAAGTTTTATCTTGTACCCACTTTTTAAACAACTTCAGCCCCCTTTCTCCTCCTCCTTCTCCTCATTCGTTTTCTTCTTCTTCTTCTTTCTTTTGTTGTTGTTGGTGCTGCTATAAAACTTCAGTTCATGGGATGATTGTCATAAGTATATTTATCAAATTATTTAAAAATAGATTATAAATAATTATGTAAGTTAGTAGACAATAAATTATAAATCACATAAAACAATGTGAAGACTTCTTCGTGTATGGATATACATAAATCTTAACAATGTGGAAAAAAGTTTGGAAGACATTGATCTAAATACTCGATCTCTATCTTTCATGAACAGCAGAAACTGTTTTCATCTATAGTAGAAACTGTTTCAGATTTGGGAGCAAGCGTACGTTGTAGTAGTTTACTGGTTTTTGGATGAGATTGTTCATCTGCTTTGTGTTTTGCAACAATTTGCAATGTATTTAGTTCCTGGTTTTGGTTCTTGGAAGGTCAGTGTAAAAGTGGAGAAAACCTAAATTCAGTAAAAAAAACTTCAGCTTATACAGTGCTGAAGTTTTTACAAATGAACTAAATAACTTCAGCATCTTCTGCTGGAGTTTTTGAAAAAGCTTATCCAGAACAAAAAAACTTCAGCTTATTTAGGGCTGAAGTTTTTACAAATGAACTAAATAACTTCAGCATTTTCTGCTGAAGTTTTTGAAAAAGCTTATCCAGGACAAAAAAAAAATTCAACTTATTTAGGGCTGAAGTTTTTACAAATGAACTAAATAACTTCAGCATCTTCTGCTAAAGTTTTTGAAAAAGCTTTATGACAAAACTAATGAATCCAGGACAAAAAAACTTCAGTTATTTTAGTGTTGAAGTTTTTGCAAATGAACTAAATAACTTCAGCATCTTATCCAGGACAAAAAAACTTCAGCGTGATGTTTTGCCCGTCTACTAGAATGCTGAAGTTTTGCATGATTGTCATTGCTACTTCAGTCCCGTATGCTGAAGTTACGCGAAAAAGTGGGTACGCTTGCAATTTTATTTGCAAAGCGGGCACAAGATAAAACATGACCAAAAAAGCGGGTATAGATGCAAATCCCCTGAGAAGTGCACAGTTAGCCGTAAAAATTGCACGGGGCGCCCTATTTAGTGGCCCCCATTTAACCTTTACCCATATTTTTAAAATTGTTTAATCTATACCTTAATTTTTACATCTTCAGATTAGTGGTCGCCTCCTCTTCTTTTCTTGCGACATGTGCGCCCCTTTCTTCCTCCAATTCTTTTCCTCTTCTTCTTCTTCTTTCTCTCTCAAACACATGAGACTCTATGTAATTATTATTGATTGAATATGAAATATACAGTTTTGCATTAAGTACATTGTACGATGCCCATGTCGTGATCAAAGTCAAACTTTTCCTCTGCGCATTAGAGGAGGCAATGAAACTTAGGGCGTGATTAAGAAAAAAATTGCTACGATGTCTTGAGTTCGATTCTTTCACTTTTGCTCGGAGAGAAAGAGATATGCTCTTAAAGAAGTGGTAGTGTTTGGGATATACAGAGGGATATGCGCGAAGCTATTTAAGGAGGAAGACACAGAATTTGTAATCCTTTGTATGATTATATTGTAGTATTACAATAAGAAATGAATTCAAGGGGTTAGAAAAAATCTTGATTTTTTATCTAATTTGGTTGTGTTCTTCAGCTAATTCCAAGTCTGAAGTTCTTTTCGGGTCTGAAGTTTGCACCACAAACTGAAGAACTTCACACTAATTTGTCTGAAGTTTGCACTATGAACTGAAGTTTTCCGATTGTCTTTGCAAATCAGGCCAAACTCGAGGCGAAAATATCTGAAGACTTTGATAAGGTCACACTTTGGGCAAAAATTATGAAGTTCAAACTTCAGATATAATTTTTTGCTACTTCAGGCCCTTATGTCTGAAGTTATCCGAAAAGTGGGTAGACTTGTAATTTTTTATGCAAAGCGGGTATATGTTCAATAGTAACCTTAAAACTGGGTATAGATGCAAATGCCCCCAGTTAGTCACTAATTAGAGATGTCTTTATTTTTTAGCCACTGTTTAAAATGTATTTACTCTTTAGCCAGTGTTTAAATTTTACCCGTCCGGACGAAAATACCTCTGTGCTAGACATGGGTGCTGTGTAAATATTAAGGACATGGTGTCCTTAACTTCATGAATGTTGTGTAAATATTAAGGACAAAGTGTCATGTATTTGCACCTTTCGTTGTTAAACTTTAGGACCTCATGTCCTTAACTTCATATGTGCAGTGTAAATATTAAGGACATGGTGTCCTTAACTTCATGTGTGCAGTGTAAATGTTAAGGACAAAGCATCCTCAACTTTATGCGTGTTGTGTAAATATTAAGGACATGGGGTGCGTTTGGTATAACGAAAAATGCTTTTCGTGGAAATGTTTTTCAAGAAAATATTTTCTTGGAAAACAAGTAGTAATCTTATTCATTTTCTAGTGTTTGGTACGAAAATTAAGGAAAATAACTTCTCAAGAGTATTCATAAATAATTTAGATATAATAAACATGAAGACATAAACTTTCGAACCAACAACCTTCCGAACCCACAAATTTTATAAACTTTCGGAACCGCGAACTTTCGAACCCGTAAACTTTCAAACACATAAACCTCCGAACTCATAAATTTGGAACTTGTAAAATTTCGAACCTATTAACCAAAAGATGAAAAAGCTAAAAGTGAAATTATATTAAACGAAATATCTTGTGCGGTGCGGGGGTGGATGGGTGGTGCAGAAAAATAAAAAAATAAAAGTTTGAAAATTATTAAAAAAACAGTCTTTTTGTGGGGGGAGGGGGCCCAGTGGGGGCGGGGGGAGGAGGGAGGGGTAGCAAGGTGGGTGGTGACAGAAAAAAAAACTGAAATTTGAAGAAAAAAGCCTTTTTGGAGAGAGGGGTGGGGTGGGTGGGTGTGGGGGTGTGGGGTGCGGAAGGTTGAGAAGGAGTTTTGGAAAATGTTTTCCCTTCTCTTGATAAGGAAAATATTTTCCTCCAATTAGAGGAAAATGAGTTCATAAGGAAAATATTTTCCAAAATATGTAAGCCAACCAAACATGGGAAAATTTAAAAATATTTTCCGGAAAATGTTTTCCTTCATACCAAACACACCCATGGTCTCTTTAACTTCATGAATGCTATGTAAATATTAAGGACAAAGTACCCTGTATTTGCACCTTCCGTTGTTAAACTTTAGGACATCATGTCCTTAACTTCATATGTGCAGTGCAAATGTTAAGGACATGGCATCCTTAACTTCATGTGTGCAGTGTAAATGTTAAGGACACCATATCCTTAATATTTCACAGCACTCATGAAGAAAGGGTAAAAATATCTTTTTTACGTATTAATTTTAATAGAGTAGTGGCTATTTTTGCACAACATTAAAAAAACTGGATAAAAACTAAAAAGCATGCTAAATAGTGGCTATCCCACGCCATTTCTACTCCTATGTGGGGCACGGGCTCCGACGGGCCGGTCCACAATTCTTTATAAACATTTTTTTAAATTTAAGTTAAAATCTAAAAGTGTAAAAGAATAAATATGTAGCGACCCGACGGTCGTTTTGAGCTTTTGCACTTTGATCGTCAGCTCTCGGGCATGACTTGCCCCGTGTGATGTATTACGACTCATGTAAACCGTTGGTTTTAGTTTTCAGGGTAATCGGAATGAATTTGGAAGAACAGTTCTCAGTTTGAAGCTTGAAACTTGAAAGGTTGACCAAGATTTGACTTGTTTGTATGTGATTTCGGATCGGAATTTTTATGATTTGGTTAGCTCCGTTAGGTGATTTGAGACTTGGGAGCGTGATCGGAATGCATTTTGGGAGTCCGTGGAAGGTTTAGGCTTGAATTGGCAAAATTGAGATTTCGGCGTTTTTCGGTTGTTAGGTGAGATTTTGATAACAGGGTCGGAATGGAATTCCGAGAGTGGCAGTAGCTTCGTTGTGTCATTTGGGATGTGCGTGCAAAATTTCAGGTTATTCATACATGGTTTGATTGGATTTTCGATCAAAAGCGAAATTCGGAAGATTTTAGAAACTTAGGCTTAAATCCGATGTGTTTTGGTTGATTTGATGTTGTTTGAGGTGTTTTGAAGATTGGAACAAGTTTGAATAAGGTATTGGGTTATGTTTGTGCTTTTGGTTGAGGTCCCGGGGGCCTCCGGGTGATTTCAGGTAGTCAACGGAAAGGTTGGAATTTTGTTGCAGCAGCTGATATTGCTGCTTCTGGTATTTTCGCATCTGCGGATTGGGCACCGCAGATCCGGCGCCGGAAATGCGGGTTGTTTATCGCAGAAGCGAAAAGGGGTCAGATGAGCAGTTTCCGCATAAGCGGTCAAGATGGCCGCATTTGCGAAGCCGCAGATGCGAAAGTTCTATCGCAGATGCGATTTTGGGGCCTTAAGTGAAAAACAGCAGAAGCGGTGGTTTGGCCGCAAACACGGTACCGCATAAACAGATTTTGGACCGCAGATGCGTAAAGGCCTGGGCAGACCATATATGTTATTTCATTTCGCGATTTTGGGTTATTCACCATTGTTGTCTTCGACCTTGGAGCTTTTTGGGCGATTCTGAAGAGAGGAATCAAGAGACTTCATTAAGGTAAGAAATTTTGGACCTAAAACTCAGTTATATGGTTGTATTTCATGAATTTAGGGCTGTAATCAAAGGAATTAAAGGGAAAAAATGGAGGATTAGGGCTTGAGTTTAAGAGGCCTTTAAATGAGGATTTGAGGGGTCATTTGGACTCCGATTTTAGTA